AGCCACTGTGATGAGTGGGATATTGAATTGATTAGGGGTGTATAAAAGGATTGCCTTGCTACCATGAGGGTTTAGTTGAGATTATGTAATATAAATTTTTAGTGGTCATCACTATTAGCAGAGTTTTGTGATTTACTCCAGCCTTGTTCAGCAGTATGTGAATTGGAGTGAATAGGGTAGATGACGGGAGTAATCCAAAATTGAGGTTTGACAAGGCTTAAGTGGGCAAGGGATTGGAGAATAGAACATAGTGTAGCATTGAACTGAGTCACTCAAGGTGGGGAAGGGAAGAGAATTCATTCAATGCAGAAGTGACAGCTTGAGAGTAAGAGGGGGGAACCACAGTAAGGATGAAGAATAGGGTTAGGTGGTCAAGACATAGGTAAAGATGGAATGGGCAGCTAGGTGGTGCAATGGATAGAGTGCCAGGCCTAGAATCAGGAAAACCTGAGTTCAAATTCACCCTCAGACACTTACTAGCTGAGTGACCTTGGGCAAGTCACTTAACTCCATTTGCCTCCATTTCCTCATCTGTAAAATGAATTGAAGGAGGAAATGACAAACCACTTCAGTATCTTTGCCAAGAAAACCCCAAATGAGGTCATGAAGAGTTGAACATGACAAAAACAACTAAACAAAAACAAACATGGAATTACAAAAGATTATAAACACATAAAGAAATTTTGGAGTTCGTGAACATGTTAAGTAGAACAGTTGTGGATGATGGCAAGATCAAACATCTGACCATCTCTGTGTGTAGCTGAGGTCATGGGAATTGAGGAGATTGAGGAACTAGAATATTAGGATATTTGAGGAGGTATCAATATGTATATGGGCATGAAGATGCATGAGGACCGGAGTTGAGGCAGGAAGACTGGTTCAGGCACTGAACTCATTGAGGAAGAAAAGGGCATTAAATGTCTTGCAAGGTGAGAGAAAATGGCCAGCAAGATATGGATTGGTTGTGCAAATTTGCACAGCATAACTTCAAAGGAAATGTTGCTATGATGGCCGTAGGAAAGGAGTCTGGAAATGGCAATAGAGAGTAAGGAATGTTCTGACTCCTCCACCATGAATGGTGTTTGTGTGGCAGAAGAGGAACAAGGTAGAATTACAAATGAAAGTACAACTAGTATTGGAAAGGGTGGTTAGAGATGCAGAGTTCTCAGGAGGGTGCCAGTTTTTGAGTGTCAAGATGGAAGGGGTGCAAAAGGAAAAGGTTTAGGATGAATAGAAGGGTCAGGCAGATGTTGAGTGGGACATTGGGAGAAGGGTAAGTTCCAGGGGGATGGGAACAAGGGAGTTGGCAGTTGGGGATGGAGAACAGGATTTGTATATCAGTGACTAGGGGGTTCAGAATCACTAAGATGAGGGGAGTTTGGAGAATACAGAGGTAGGAAAAGGCTAATCATTGGGGAATGATTATAATGTCTAGGCAAAGTATCAGTGTTGGAAAGAGGTCTGATCAGGGAGCCTGTTGATTAGGCTGTCTTCCCAGCTCCAATTAATCCTCCATATTATTGCCAAAATAATTTTCTTGAAGTCTAATCTGACTAACTGTTTCCCCTGCTTAGGACCATTTATTGCTTCTGGGATAAAATACAAAATGTCTCAGTTTGGCATGTAAAACCCTCCACAATCTGGCTCCAGTTTATCATCCCAGTATTTGACTCACCTTTACACATCCTAGGTTCCAGCCAAACTATCCTATTTACTGTTAACCAAACTTAACAGTCCATCTCCCATATCCACACCTTTGCACAAGCTGTCCTTTATGTCTATAATTCTCTCCCTTCTTTACTTCAGTCTCTTAGAATCCCTAGCTTCCTTCATAGCTCAGCTCACATGCCATCCATCTCTGATTGGAAGACTTTCCCGATAACCCCCAGGTATTACTACTTTCTCTCTCTTCCTCAGATTATCATGTGTGTGGGTTTTTTCTGCTTCCAGTCTGTATTCTCCCCCACCCCCAGTAGAAAGGATTGTTAACTACTTGGGACTATTTTTTCACATTATCTTTGTATTCTTTGCACCTATGCATAGTATTTTGTGTGTGGTTGGCACTTTATAAATACTTGTCAAGTTGAATTAGATCTGGAACTATTGAATTAGATCTGTAACTATTCTACAGTATTGCTGAAAAACGAACTTGTCAGACAGAGTGAACTGCATGAGCAAAGGCATGGAGCTAGCTAACGCCAAGCCTGAGACAAGTTCAACATCCATCAATTAGCCAGTATGCATAAAATACCTGAAGGAACATCTGGGGAGAGAGGTAAGTCAGAGTTAAAAAGGGGATGCCAGTCATAATGGTGAGCTTGGTCTGAGATGTTCGTTTCTTTCTCCCAGCTGAGACACTGGGCAGTCCTGGGAATTGAGATGAATGATTTTTCTCCCCTGCCTGTATTCTCCTCCCTTAAGAAAAGGCTCAAGCCCTGTCTTCTTCACTAAAGGGTCTCTAGGGTCAGTCTATCAACCTCACACCAGGGTACTTATCTCCTGAAGACAGGTCAAGCCCAATCTCTTCACTCTCTAGGCTCATGTTTTTCTTTTTTTGAATCTTCCTCTCAGTATTCCAGAAGGTAGCTTCTTAGAACCTACATATCAGGAACACAGAGCTTGCTCATTGTGGCTGGGAAGTTTATAAAGCTTCTCTTCATTTTCCTCAACTCCCATGCCACTCCTGCTCCACACAGCATTGTCTTGTGCCTCATCTTGCACCCTATGTTACATTTATATTGTATCACACCTATGTACACACATAATGCCTCCTCTACTAGATCTGTGAGCTCACCTTGGACAGGGAGTGATTCACTTCCATCCCTGTCTTTCCTTTGGCTCTTAGCACTGTGCCTGACATACAGTAAATCTGTGCTTATTCAATACCCTTCCTGAAGGTGGATCCGGCATCCTTGGACTGTGCTTGGAGATCATTTGAGGGTTCCCTGCTTCAGGCTGATAGTCCCTACTTTAGATACTTTGGCTGCCTTCTCCAAGAATATGGGACTCTATACCATATTGGCCAGAAAGACCCTGGTTGTAGTGCCTCTATTGGAGGCAAGGGGGCAGCATTATCACAGGGAAGCTTTAGTGTGGAGTTCAGGCTTCAAGGCAATTTCTTATTTGTCTCTTGCTATAGAGCAGAGAAATGCCCAGCATTTAGTGGACCCCCAGGGATACACCTACGTGCACCCATCACCCAGTCAGTTGAATTAGTCATTTCACTTCGGAAAGTACATGCCAAAGAAAAGAATGAGTGCTTTGGGCAGGGTGTCTATACTCTAGACCATGACAGAACTTGTGGCCCAGAGGGGATTGTTTCAGCTATGTCAGGGTTCTGGTTGAGCTCCATGGAAGGGGTAGGTATCTCTTAATCTTCACTGGAAAACTTGGTGATGAGGGGGTGACATCTCCAGAATATCTGGAATTTTCTTCAATCAGTCAACCAATCACTCAATAAGGATTTATTTTGCACCTACTATGTGCCAGGCATTGTACTAAGTCCTTCAATTGACTGGTATCTCAAACTTTCAAATCACAGACTCAAAGAATGTCCAGAAAGGTCCATTCACCCAGTTTCTCCATGGTGGAAGCTTGACTTTTTCTTTTGCCTCATCTCTCATAAAGAAGTCTTGCTGATTCTATCTCCCCATTCAGAAGCCAGCAGACTGACTGAGGTGGCAAGGTGATTAAATTGATCACAGAGAAAGGGCTCAGGAAGGCCAGAGTTGAAAGATTTTAAGGGACTTGGGAGTTGGGAAGATTTTCCTCTCAGGGTTGAACTCACTAAACTCTAGAAACTTGGATAAGAGAAGCCAAAGGGCCAATTGTAGATTTTAAGATGCCACGAATAATGCAAAGAGTTGAATGTGAAGTCAGAGGACCTGGGTTCAAGTCCAGGCTCTCTTATTTGCTACCTGTGTTACTTCAGGTAAGTCACCTAACATCTCTTGGCTTCTGTTTCCTTATCTATAAAATAAGGGAAAATTGGACTACATGAATATTACATAAACTCCTTCCAGCTATACTGTAAATCTGTGATCTATTCTCCTTTCTATTTCCTCTCTACAGCAGAATAGCCTCCTAACATATTTTCCTACCTCCATTTCTACCCACTCCAATCCACTTCATACCAATGTCTAATCTTTTTCTGCACCTATCCAAACATCTAGTAGTGTCATCTCTTTGCTTAAATTGTCTATGTCAATTTCAAATTCAGTAAAAATTCAAACTTTTTTGACTGACTTTCAAGGCCCCCTCTAATTTGTTACTGCCCTGTATTTCCAGCCTTATCTCATAATTACTCCCTTCCATAATCTCTATAATTCAAGCTGGACTACTCTTCCCTCTTCATATCTTTTCTATATGATTTCCCTTTGCCTGAAATACCCTTCCTCTCACCTACTGGTTTTCTGCCCATCCTTTAAAGTTATTTTTCAAATGCTACCTGCTCTGTGAAGCCTTCCCTGATCCTCCTGCTAGTCACGAATTTTTTCTCCTAGGACCTCACATAGCACTTTGCTTAGCACTTTTCTTTAAAAAAAGAAAAAAAAAACAACAACTTGTCATGTATTAGTGTGTACTATAGTTATCTGTATTAATTTTTATCCCTCTGTTAGTCTTAGCTCTATGAAGGTAGGGTCGTCATATTATCTACATGTTATATCTCTCCCAAGTGTTTAGTATAATACTCTGCACACAGAAACTTAATAAATGCTTGTAGAATGTTGAAATGAATATTTCAATGAAATGGAACCTATATTTCTAATCAAACCCACCCCTATTTTTCAGATGAGGAAAACGAGGCCCAGAGAGGGCAAGATCAAGTTATGAATTGACCCCAAGTCTCTTGTCTCCCAGGGCAAAGGTTTTGTCCATTATATACCAGAATGGTGTTATGGTCATTCCCTCCCATCCCACCCCCTCACCTCCAAAGAAAGAACTCTTTGGGGCCTCACACCTGGAGAGGCAGTTTTACTGGCACCCAGAAGAGGGGCAGGATGAGACAGGACAGGACTGGAGCCTAGAGCAGGCCAGTTGTAGTGGAGAGAAAAGCTCAGTCCCTTCTGGTCTCCATTTCAGCTCCCTCTCCCCTTCCACCTTTCCCCTGACCCAATCCAGCTCTACAATATCCATGGCAACTGGAAGTCCTCAGGACCCAGTGGGCAGCAGTGAGTGGCCTCAACGTTCTTCATGTATTTCTGAGCCAGGAATATTGCAAGTCTCTTTTGTTGGAGAGAGGACAGGTCCTCACCCACCCTCCAGGGGAAGTCTGGGCTGTGGGGATTTGGGGAGGTGCTTTGATTCTTCCACCTTAATTTCTTTCTGGACTTATTGTTCTTAGTCTTATAGTTCTGCAATATAGTCAAACACCATTTGCCATCCACACAATATTTCTGGCACACGGCAGCCTCTTGCTCCGGGCTAGCCGCCTGCAGCCAGTGTTTCACAGCCTCCAGAGTTTCATCCGTCATCACTCTGGGGTAGCGGTATTTTAACAACTTCAGTAGCAGGTAGTTGCCTCGGTTGCCCTCCAAGTCGATAGAGCGGGGGCCTGATCGTCGTTGTTCTCCGAGGAGAGAGCCTCAGTGTTGACCACTTCATCCAGCGTGCGGCGGATGAGCAGCACAGGCCCTGCATAACAGCAAAGTTGCTCTGCCACGTTGAGGTTAAAATGCTCCCGCACAGTGCGTTCTACCAATCCCTTGCAAAATGTAGGTAGCACTCGCAGGGTCAGCGGCATGAGATCGTCAAAGGGAGCGTCTAGCACCAGCGCGCCCAGCTGTGGGTAAGTCATGGTGGCCCACGTAGCCGTGAAAGTGCCGATGGACCAGTCATAGATCACAACTCGCTCAGGTAGAAAGTTCAATCTGTGCAAAGCGTATTTGACTACCACATCCATGGCATTGGCGTCGTTCTGTGGTGAGGGATCACCGCTGCTCCCAGCGAAACCTGGGTGGTTCCAGCCCAGGACCGAGTAGCCAGCCTCCAGCGGCGCCGCAAGACAGCCCATCTCATAGAAGCCTGCGTTGCCCTCGCAGCAGATGACTAGGTGCAGGCCGCGGTCCCGGCTGCCAGGCTGCTGACGTCGGTCCAGGAACATGGTGTCAATTTCGTTGCCGTCACAAGCCTTCAGCTTAGCCCGCTGGCCTTTATACTTGTCCAGTAGGAGAGCTTGGCCCTCGAGCAGCATCGGCAGCAGCGCTTTGGTAGTGATGAACATGGACCTGGGATAGACGAGCCAGCGGCCTAACGAGTGTGCCAGAGCGTAACTGGCCAGCTGCCGGGGCAGGTCTCTAATCTGGTTCAGGAAATGGGTCTGGGAGCCACTGGGGCTGCCTTGTGGAGTAGCCTGCATCAACAATACACCCTCAGCAGCCTCAGCCCTACTCAGTGCCGGGTGGCCGTTGCTTTGGGTGCTTACCTCATCTCAGCGAAAGTCCACCGGCCAGCTCCTGAAATCATTGTAATTTTCGTCAATTAAAGTTTTAAACACGTGCCCAAGTGCCTTTGCGAAGAGTTAACACACCTAAGAAGCAATGGACAGGGGCTTCCAGAGCGGGGTAGGGATAGGGATGAGGTGAGGGATGGCATGGGGCAAGTACTAGGGCTAGGGAGGTTTGAGGAGGCAGAAGAGGAGTCTATAGAAGCCCCGAGGGACCGTCAAATGTCAGGCATCACCCTGGAAGAAGCAGTTGAATGGCTGGTCGGCTTCTGTGGTTTCCATTCTTTCCCGTTCTCCCCCATCTTAGAGTAGATGCAGCTCTGAGCCTGCCTGACCTTCTCAATCCCCTTATAGGGGCTGCCTTTATGACTTGTGCTGACTAAGTCATCAGTCCAGGACTCTGAAGGCCAGCCAAGGGATGACGATGGTAGTGGTCTGCTTTGTGAATTAGCATTGGTCCAGAACTGGTTAAAACAAAGAAAAAAAGAAAGGAACCATGAGAAGCTCTGGGTCATGAGTTCTTAAAGGTTTGGGGACTGGCCACATCTTGCTTCTTCAAAACATTTAACACTTCTAACTTAAAATCTCAGGACATCTAGGTCATGCAGTGAATAGAGTGCTTGCCCTGGATCCAGGAGGACCTGAGTTCAAATATGTCCCACCCCCCACTTACTAGTTGTGTGACCATGGGCAAGTCACTCGACTCTGTTTGCCTCAGTTTCCTCATCTGTAATAAGCTAGAAAAGGAAATGTCAAATCATGCAGAAAAGAGGCAGCTGATGTTTTAGATAGAGTTCTGACTTAGAGTCAAGAGGAACAGAATTTGAATCCAGCCTCAGACATGTAATAGTTGTGTGACCTTGGGTTAGTCACTTAACTTTTTTGGGCCTCAGTTTCCTCATCTGTAAAATTATGTCCTCTAAGGTTCCTTGCAGCTCTAAATCTATGAACCTATGATCTTCTACCCCAGACTGTGGGTCATATGAGTGTTAGGTGTAGAGAAGGGTGTGTATAGAGGCCCCTGAGTCCTGGGATTTAGAGTTGGAAACTTGGTTAGAATTTGAACTATGTGTGTTACCTTGGACAAGTCACTTCCCCTCTTGGGATCTCAACTTCCTCTGCAAAACTGGAGGGGTTGGAGAATATAATCTTTAAGGTTTCTTCCAGCTCATGATTGTATGGCCTTATGATCCCTCACAGTTTAACTGGGGTATATGAACTTATTTTTTTAAAAAATATTTTGATAACTGCATTTCAATATAATTGGTTTACTTTGTAATCTGATGTGCTTTATTTTACACATTTAAAAACATCATTCTGAGTAGGAGTCCATAGATGTCACCAGGCTGCCCAAGGTATCCCTGACACAAAAAAAGAACCCCTTCTATGAACTTAACTCTCTTGCTTCCCTCTTTTGCTAGTGTGATGGGCACACTAGAGGGAGAGCTCTGAAATTTTACTTTCCCCTGGACAGCAGCTTCCAGAATCACAGAATCTGAGAGGCAGAAGGGACTTTATCTGTCATCAAGTTCAATCGATACGGAAAAGAAATCCCCTCTACAAGGAACCCCACAAGTGATTGTCCTGACTCTGCCTGAAGAAGGCCTCCTAGGAGGCAAAGCCTACCGCCCTTGATACAGCTCATTCCGCTTCTGGACTGCTCTCATCATTATGGGGTTTTCTCACGTCAAGTCTAAAGGTGCATTTTTGCAACATCCATGCATCTCTCCTGATTCAGCCCCCTTGGGTGAAACAGAAAATATCTCTCCTCTGTGTGGCAGCTTTTCAGAGACTTGAAAGTTATTATATACCCATTAGGTCTTCTCTTCAACAAACTAAACACGCCCACTTCTCCAACTGGTCCATATAGGTCATTGACTCAAGACGCTTCACCATCCTGGTTGCCTTCCTTTGGACACTTCAATATATGAAAGTCTTTCTTAAACTATGACACAATGTGAACTGAACACAATACTGCTGACATGGTGTGGTCAGGGAAGAGTACAAAGGAATTATCCTTCTTCTTGGACTTTATTCCTCTCTTGATGTAGCTCAATATTATATTAGGTTTTGGGGGGCTAGTGTACCATATTGCTGGCTCATATTGAGCATGTAATCCATTGAAATCTATACATGCACACACATATACAAGCACACATATATATGTAGGATTCTCTATATGTATATGCATATACATATATATATTTAATTTTATTTTTTTCAATTAAGAAAAACCTCTTTTGTCTCTCTTACTTCCCCCCTCCCCTTGAAAAACAAATAACAACAAAACCTTATAACCAATATACACGGTCAAGTAAAACAAATTCCCATGTTGTGTATATCTGCCACCACGCCCCACCTCCCCCCCCAAAAAAACTAACCATGTCTCATTCTGCGCTATGAGTTCATCACTTCTCTTGTTAGTAAATGAGTAGCACAATTCATCACTGGTCCTTTGGAATCCTGGCTGATCGTTTTGTTGATCAGAGTTCTGAAGTCTTTCAAAGCTGTTTGTCTTTACAACTTTGTTGTTATTATATAAATTGTTCTCCTGGTTCTGCTCCCTTTATTTTACATCAGTTCCTACAAGTCTTCCCAGAATTCTCTGAAACCAAACCTTTCATCATTTCTTATGGCACAATTGTGTTCCATTATATTCATATGCCATAATTTGTTTAGCCATTCCTCAACTGATAGGCATCTCTTTAGTTTCTTTGCCATTACCAGAGCTGCTATAAATATTTTTGTACATATGGGTCAGGCCTATTAGTGGTATCTCTGGGTTAAAGGGTTTGCTCAAAGTTTAGTAACTTTTTGGTCATGGTTCCAAATTTCCTTTGTGTGTGTGTGTGTGTGAAGTAACTGGGGTTAAGTGACTTGCCCAGTCACACAGCTAGTAAGTGTTATGTGTCTGAGGCTGGATTTGAACTCAGGTCCTCCTGACTCCAGGGCCAATGCTCTATCCTCTGTGCCACCTAGCTGCCCCCCAAATTGCTTTTGAGATAAATTATTTTCTGTTATATTAATAACCTATCATTGATTAGGATCCAGGCTTTTTATTTCCTCATTCAGGGACCAGCCCCTGTAGGTCAGTCAGCCAGTCTCTGAAGGGCAAGTCTGATAGAGAGGATTGCCCTAATCCTCGGCTACATGCTTTTCAATCATAGGCAGGACCCCACCCAACTAGGAGATCTTACTTCCGTTTGAAGTGTAAAGAGAATCTAATTTAGGTAAATTCTTTCTCTGACAGAATAAGCCCATCTCCTTGCACCCCTCCATTGGAGTTCAGGGTGACACAACTCACGAAGGAGAAGACCAATCAGAGTAGTCTGGGTGGAGATGGATTCTTTGGTCCAGATTGCTGGAGGCACTGAGTCTTGTGATCAAGCCAGTTCTCAGCTGGAGGAGCTGTAGCCCACCTCCTCATTTAAATATCTACCAATCAGGGTTAATTACTCCTGTCAGGAGCATTCCTTTTCAAAAAAATATTTAAGGCATTCAGTGTCTCCATTAGGTGTCTTTGGTTACCAAGAGAAACCATTGACCATCAGTTTATTGTTTATTAGTTAACCTAATTAATAAATTTGTTATTAATTACCTGGAAACTGTCTCTCAGGTTTTTCATTCATCACACTTTTCAGAATGGCTGAAGCAATTCACAGCTCCACCAACAGTACATTAGTATTCCACAACCCTGACAACATTTTTTTGGTGAACTTTGTTAATCTGATGACTGTGAGATAGAACTTCAGAGTTGCTTTAACATTTACTTCCCTAATTATTAGTGATTTGGAGCATTTTTTTTTCATATGGCTATAGATAACTTAGATTTCTTCCTTTGAAAACTGCCTGTCCATATCCGTTTACTCTTTATCAATGGAAGAATGGTTCTTATTCATAAAAATTTTAATCCACTTCTTATATATCTTAGAAAGAAACCTTATCAGAAAAATTTGTTTTAAAAATCTTTTTTTCTACCAGTTACCTGCTTCCCTTTTAATTTTAACTGTATTGGTTTTATTTCTACAAAACCTTTTTATTTTTATATAATCAAAATTGTCAGTTTTATCTTCTTCGATGTTTTCTATCCCTTGTTAGAAATATTTTCCCCTATTCATAGATCTGAAAGGTAATTTCTTCCTTGTGCATCTAATTTGTTTATGATGTCAACCATTATGTTTAATTCATGTATCCTTTGGAGCTTGTCAAACCCCGGATCTTTTTCAGAATAATTGCTGTATAGCCACGTCTCTTCTATCTTATACTTGTAATGTTGAAGTGAAAAACTATTTCCATTTATCCCTACTGAATTTCATCTTATTAGATTCAGCCTAATGTTCTAACCTGTCAAGATCCTTTTGGATCCTTATTCTGTCATCTGCTGTGTTACCTATTCCTATTAGCTCTGTATCATCTTCAAATCTGCATAGCATCTATATATTTATCCAAGTCAAGCATAGATCCCTAGGGTTACTTCCCAGGAGAAATCCCACCAGTTACATTAAGGACTTTTTGAGTTGAGTCATCCAACCAGTTCAGAATCCATCTGTTTGTATTATCATCTAAACCACATCTTCTCTCCAGAACAGTATAAAGAACTTTATGCAAAACTTTGTGAAAATCTACATAAACTATACCCACAGTATTTCCCTCCTGTCCTAGTTTAATAATCATATCAAAAGCAAGGACATGAAACTAGTCTGGTATGAACTGGTATGATGATGCTATACAAGCTCTTTGTGTCACTACTTTAATATCTCACCAATTATCTCTTTAATGATACATTTTAAACATTTCCCAGGAACTGAAGCCAAGATCACTGGCCTATAGTTTGTAGAATTTGTTCTCTTCTCTTTTTTGATATTTGCCCTGCTCCAACCTTGTACCTCTTCCATTTTTTCCATGATCTTTCAAATATCATCAATAGGGGCTCAAAAATAACTTCTGTAAATTCTTTTAGAAACTAAGGTTTGGTTCCTCTGAGTGATTTGAATTCATCAAACACAGTTGAGTGCTTCCCTACTCTCTCCTTACTTATCTTGGCTATCAGTTCCCTGTTAGTCATTTTTATTTTGTCATTTCTAGTGTAAAAGTCATTCTCCTTTGCAGAGAAAACAGAAACATAAGTTGAACATCTCTAACTTTTCTC